ACACACACACACACACACACACACACACACATAATGTTTGTTTTCAGTTTTGTTCCTTGAGGATATTTGAGTTAATTGACACACAGGCTTATAGCATTTTCTATGAAGATCTTTACAGAAAAGGTTTATCCACTCTGAATCAAGTGGAAAGATTCAATTTGGGTTCAGTTTTTGGCAAACATCTCCATAAACATTTTATTGAGAAGCACATACTACTTGCATGTATTTTTTTTTATTTCAATAAGAGTGAATGTTAACAAAGCACATTGATTTTTCAACTAATCATTCATGCATATTTTGTCCCATGACATTAATTATAGTACCCACAATGTGTGATCATCCATTCAATCCACATTGCCTTTCCTTTTACACATCTTAATAACGGTTTATCATCTGTTTAGACATTTTCTACTCTCCTCCTCTTTCCTTCCTTTGTTTTGAAATGACATTATTACCTGGATCCATTAATTTATTCAACTCAAAACTCACAGTCAGTTCCAACTCACAGTGGCCCTCCCTCCGGTTTTCAAGATTGCCAGTCTTGACAGGAAGGGGCTGTCCATCTTCCTCTGAAGGAGCCACACTCTCAGAGAAGTATCAACTTTGAGTTAGTGCAACCCAGTACAGACTACACCACCTGTGGTCCTCTGACAAGTACAGAAATCTATGAGAAAGATTCCTAATCCTCTATGTGTAAACTCAATTTTCCCTCCATTTGCAGAACATGAACTGTTGTTGTTGTTTGCTATAGAGTCGAGCATGACTTATAATGACCCTGTGAACAAAAGGTCTGAGGCTTTCTATAATTATCGTCATTTATCAAAGATCATAGAGTTTCCAGAGGCATGTGGTTTAGGAAGTGGACACCACTCCTGCTTTCAAGAATTAGTCTCAATGAAAGGAGTACCTGAGTGGGGCACATGGAATATACTTCACTGTTCATTTAAGCCTGGGCTTGAGCCCACCCAGAGATGCCTCAGACACACTTGCTAGGATCAAGTTAATATTAAGTGAATCCTACAAAAATATCCAAAGATTTCACAGTGAGCAGAAAGCAAGAAAGAAAAAGCACCAAGTACAAGGCTTAGCCATGTCAGGGCCCTACCATGACTTAAACAATTAGTCTGCTTTTAGCTATAAACAAGTCCTTAAAACCTGGGGTGAAGTGGGCAGTGGGACAGAATACTAGTGGGAGAAGGAGGGAATGAGAGAAGATACAAAAGAGTAATGTTCTAGGACTCTTGTTGTTGTTGTTGTGTACCATCAAGTTGGAACCGACCCATGGCTGATGGGTTTTCAGAAGCAGTTAATCATAGGGGAGCAACTGGTGGCCTCCAACCGTGTGCCTTCATGATTGCAGCACAGCTTCTTGTCACTGAGCCACCAGAGCTCCCAGTTCTAAGACTAGACAAAGAAAAGATATGCTCAAACTCCTACAGGAAAAGTTTAAGAATGAAATGAAGCAGAAGGAGGAAAGAACCTAACATGCATCATTGTATAAAATGGGACATAGTAAGTGAAAGAACAGTATTAAAATATATTCAAATATTCCATCATCACGTAAAGTAGCTCATAAAATGTTTTCAAAATAAATATAGTTTTATTATTTCTGGACATATAAAATTAATCCATGAAAAAATACCAAGGGAGAAATTATTAAATTACAGCTGGATTTCAAGCTCATTGCCATTTGATAATCATAGCTGACCCTCCAAGAAAAGAGAATCACAAGTTATTTTATAATCTCCTTTATAATCTAGTGTCACTGAATTTTTGCTTACCTCTGCAATATTCCTCAGATATTTTAGTACAAAAAATAAAATAAACAGCAACAGTTTAAACAAAACCACCTCAAAAACACTTCACTAAATTTCCCAGAAAGTTAACCAAATTCCAATCAGGGAACTTGAGATTACTTTGGGGGCATCAGTAAGGAATATTCTGGGATCCCCTGCATCTTCGAGAAGGAAGATTTAAAAAGCTGTCATTGGAAAAGGCAGTAGAACCAACAACTGTGGG